TTATAAACCAAAACTCCTACCAGTTATGGGAAATAACAGAGCTTTGTAAGTATTAGGAGTAGACTAAGCTATTCAATGTCTATCTTCTTGCAACATCCCCAGCCTTTGCTTAGAAACCATAGTAATTAAACTCACTGCACTGTGTGAATCCAGTTATTATTTTAAGCTATAAACGTGACTTGGGCAGTTTTGGTTTAGCAAGCCATCAGCCACTATGTTTACAGTGAAATTGGAGCAGGGGTGAGTTCCTGCCAGTCCTAACCTCTTCTATAGAAGAGGTTCCACAAATCTACCATGACATTTAGATCCGGTTCCAGCTCCCTCCCCCCGCCCGTCCGCACCACGCTTGCCCCGCCCACCACTCACTGATTGGCTGACTCACCAATCGGCCCACCCACCTCTAAGAGTCCTATCTAAACCTTAAAGTCTTAAAGCTGTCAAGTTTGAACATCCCTGGGGGGGGGGGTTCTAAAAGGTTAGGGGTGCAAGGGTCTTGTAACTTGACAGCTTTAAGACCTGCGTGCTTGAAATGCCAGTTTCTGAGGCAACATTTTGGTTGCTAAGCAAGAGCGTTGTTAAGTGAGTTTCACCACATTTTACAAGTTGGCCATGCCCACCCAGTCACATAGCCAGCAAGCCACTCCCACAAAGCAAGCCACACCTACAGAAGAGGTTCTAAAAAAATTTGAAACCCACCACTGAATTGGAGGCATACAAATTTGATTCATATTTAACACAGAGATACTGTGATTTCTTAGCTGTGGTTTATGGTGCAATGTGAATATAGCCAATAGTAAAAGAACAGAACTCTCTTGAGCACATGCCTTTCACATCTCAAATCCTTACAAGGATTGGCATTGCATGTTTAAAATAAAGCAAAGAAGATTTTCAAAAAGAGTTTTTCCCTTACCTCTGTGGACTTTCATTAAATATTGGCACTTAATGTTAATTGAGTTCCCTGGGTGAAAACTCCCCATATTGTCTCTCTTTCCATTGATTAATATATGAAATAAGTGATTGCAAGTGCCTTCTTTGACATCTCCGGTGGAGGATGTGTCTTAGCAGTTGTATAGTGCAGGAATGAGGGATCTCAAAAGGCAGGTTAAAGCAGAACTGGAATTTTAAAGACAATCTAAAATTAAAGAGCAGGTTCAATCAGTAGTATGACCCAACTGACCTTGGCCGACATTGGAGACTAAATAAGGTCAATCCTGGGAGAGGGGAGATATCTGATAATTTCAGAATCAATAACTAGACTGGGAAGTAAAAAGAAAAATCTTCAATGACAATGGCAAACCAATTCCACAACACTTCCAAGAATCTGCATGGATGGTCTAACTGAGGTCAGTTCAAGGGCTTCTTCCCTTTTAAAACGTGTATGTGAGAAAATTTCACAAGGGAGAAGATGTACAGATGCTGACATTTTACTCCTGCCTCTTAGCCTGTTCTACTATCTCTTATTCTGTTCCTGTCTCTGCCAACCATTCATTTTCACCATTAGAATAGAGCCACTCTAGGTGAAAGTTCCTAAATGGACAATGTCCTGTTTTTGCTTTGAGTCTACCCTGTTCCTCTTCAAAACTATTAATAGTCCTAAAAATTTTGGCTTTGACCATGCCAGGTCATGCTGTCTTCCTTGTTGAGTTGTCGGAAGGAGACCTTGGAGCTTTGCCCTCTTGAATTATATAACTAATCACTCCATACCTTGAATGGTTGCCAGGTTCCTTGGCCTTGCTTTGGCATCATGAACAAGTCCCAAGTCTGGATTAGCTGTCCCTTCCTCCTCCTCCCCTTAGATCTCGCCCACCTTCCCAGCAGCCAAATCATCCCTTTCCTAGTAGCTTTGAACTACACACAAGCAAGCACAGGTGAATCTGTATCTAGCTGTTGCAATTCAATCTGTCCAGCAATTATTATTTGCAAGGATTTGTTTGGGGTTGAAGTTTAATAGAAAAGGCAAACTAGCAGGGCAAAATTGAACTGACCCCCTAATTTGTGAGAGTGACTATTACAGAAAATAATTATTATTTACCAGGTTACTCTAACATCTTATTTTTCTGCTTCCCCCCCTCCCTTCACTAGGTCTTCACAGCTGTCATGGTATATATCTCACTGCCAAATCCCAATATACTTCAGTGTTTTGCATAGAACTCCCCCTGCCCACGTCATACAGATACAGTGATAAACATGGGCCCTTGGTCTATTCTCCCTAGCCGAAGTAGTATAATGATCTCTTTATTAGTAGTGTTATGAATAGATTCTGCTCTATGTAACTCAATATTACCTACACCACTCTTCCCCAAATTAATGACAACCCCTATAGCTTCCATAATCCCTAACCAACATGGTGTCCTAACTGTAACAGATGTTTCTGATAGAAGCTGCAATCCAAACATTTTAGAAAGCAACTAGTGGGAGAGATTGATCTTCTCTGATTAGTAGTAGCTCACTTAAAGTTCAAACATACCTTTTTTCCAATTCTAACTGGAGGTGCAGATGAGAGAGACTGGGATATTTTAATGTAGAAACAAAATTGAAGTTGGCCACTAATTGTACTCTGTTTTTTTATTTTATTTTATGGGAGGCTGTGGGGTCTTGATGGGGAATAGATTTTAACACAATCTTAATAAATCCAAGCGATTATGGGTATTGGACTCCATTGGTCCTGGAACTGAAGAAATTTCATCTTTGATCCTGAATAGAATTGCCTTATTGCCTCAGAGTCAGGGAACAATGAACTTGTCACTTCTGCTTGAAGAGCAGGAAGCAACTGGGCACCAATTATGATTGTTCTTAGATAATGAGGCCCTGCTAAAGTTCATTCATGCCTTAATCATTTTCTGGATAGATTATGTCAATGTAGTCTACATGGAGCTGCCCTTGAAGATATCTGGAAGCTATAACTGGTCCAACGCTGAATGGCTTCCAACCAACTGGGTACAATTTAAATATTTATGGGCAATCCTTTTTACGATTATATAACTTCTTTACTCTGTAAACTGTACTGGATTCCTACAAGTAGTTCTTTATTTACAACTATTGGATTAGCATACAAGTTATAACAGCATTGTAACAAGCAACTTATAATTGGTCTTTGCACTTACAACTCTTGCAGTATCTCAGAGTCACGTGATCAAAATTTGGATGTTTGCAACTGACATGTATTTATGACTCTCTCCATCTCCTGAGGTTCTGTGATTGCCATTTGCCAAACTGATGTCCAATAAGTAAAGTCAGTAGCAGAAGTTGGATTCACATGATCAAAATTCAGGCTCTTAGCAACTGATTCACATTTACACTGCAGTGGCCGTGTGATTGCCATTTTGACTTTTTCAGCTGGCTTCCCACAAGCAAAGTCAGTGGGGGAAGCCTGATTTGCTTAACAGTTGTATGACTCATTTAATAACTGCAGTGATTTGCTTAACAATTGTGGTTAAAAAAGGCGCAAAATTGTGTGTGGCTCACTTAACAACCACATTGCTTAGCATCAGAAATTCTTGTCCCAGTTGTGGTTGTAAGTTGAGGACTTCCGGACGCAATTCTTGATGCTGGCTATCACATAGAAACCCTTGAATGCCATGGGATCAGGATACTTTCAGGATTACCTTTTCACAGTAGTATCTGCCTATCTGCTGAAATAAGGACGATACACCTTAAGTCTCTTCTTTGAAACTACAGGTAGTCCTCAATTTATGACCATAATTCAGCTCACCTTCTCTAGCAATAGAAGTGGAAATGAAAACTCTTTGGCTCTGTATTTCTGAAAATAATAAAGGAACCACTCTCTAAGGTGTGCTGTAATATTAAATACACACTTCCTGTAAGGTAGCACGCGTTAACATGCAGCTGTACAGTATCTTTCTTAGTCATGCAACATATTTATTATTTGTTTATTAAATTTATATGCAGCTCATCTCACTATTCAAAGCAACTTGACTCTTAAATGCATTTAATGAAGGTTTATGTTCAAAAATGTGCCCGATGAATATGAAGCCAATTTGTTATCAGGTGAGTAAAACTAGACTGCTGCAAAAGAGTGTTAAGTGAAAGAGATACACATTCCATCATTTTCTTTTTATTTCATTAATCCTTTAGAACACAATCAAGAGAAATCCATGTATCATTTTATTTAAAAGAAAACAAGACAAGAAATAGAAGGCACTAGGAAAAATTCACAGTGGAATCTTTTTTTCCTCCTCAACTACTTGTACATGGAAGGGACAAGGAGGTGAAAGACCAAATCTGTTCTTGATAAATTAAATCCATTTCCTATCCTTTCTCTAAACTTCTTAATTCAACTTTCATTCATTACTTTCCCGAGGTGTACTTACTCTTCATTTTTCATGGCATATGTTCACTGACTGGGACATTACCATGGATGTCTCCTATCCTATGTCACAGAACTAGGGAAGGAATATTGGAATAGAATCCTAGAAGATAGTTCCTATCCTAAATGCTTCATAATCCCTTTCTGGAACAGGACCAAGAAAGCTAAAAATTTCCTCCAAATTCTTTCACTAGCTATACCACTAAGCACCATTTTCCTGAACTCAAGTATAACTCCAGCATATCTCTCACTTGCTAAACTCAGAAACTGCCATTCTTATCATTTGGATCAGCCATTTTATCTACAAATTCATTTTTCACTGTAATTTTAGGCAATTATGTCAATCACCTCAAGGGGCGTACTGTTTTTCTTTTTCGCCTTTATTCATGTACACCTTCCTGACTTCTCCAGTTAAAACATTAAACAAAAGAAGAAGAAAGAAAAATAAGAACTGGTCATAGAAATATGTAACATTATACAGCTAATTATATATACACAAAGACATCCCACATCCTTCCCCCCCCTCCCATCCCTACTCACAGAAAAAGAAGGCCATCCAAAGTTCAATCCTACAAAGTCTTTTCTACATATCTGGGCCCCTTCAGATTGTCCTCATGCAGCAAAAGGCACTTTGGCCCAAACCAGTTCCAAATAGGAGAGTTGTTGAGTTGTCTCAGCCTCTCTGGGCCTCCTGGGACATAGAGCGGGACAGTGAACGGTGCAGGCCAGCTTTTTTGAAGTCGGGGCAGGTGGGCTGGACAACAAGGGGCAACTCTTTGGTGATCTCAAACACAGGTGTCTTGTCAGGGCAGATGCCTGTGACTGGCAGAGACTCCACTGACTCTGATGGAGTTGGTGTCAGCTCCCGTTCAGCCTTGGTGCTTAGCTTGATTGGTGTGAAGATGGGCAAAGGCAGAGCTCGCTGATAAGGCAGATGGTAAGAAACCAGAGGCTCACCCAGCAGACCTAGACGGAGGATGCCCCATGGTGATCGCTGAATTATGGCCCAAGCCTCCTGTTGTTGTCGATAGGTTTCTTTGTGCTGACTGTCCACCTCAGAGTGAGAGCAGCTATATGGATGTGAGCACAGTATGAATTAAAAATCCACCCTACAATGTATCTTAACAATTCTGTCTTGAAACCAACCATATAACATACACTGCTAGCAGAAACAGAAAAACTTGAGTTCTTTCATCTGGAAGAATGAAGCCATCAAGAATATTGCCATTCAAAATCATATTCTCAATTGACTTGTTTGAAGTCCATGCTCCATTTGCCAAAAGGAAGAATTTATTGGTGCAATAAGAGCATGCAAACTCCAATCTCTCTTTTTCATCCTACTGCTTTCCACTGTATAACATCTATGCTGGGAGGAAGTATATTTCTGCTTGGAAGTTCCCTTCGTACATCCTTTAGAGCCCTAATCTTCCATGATTGTCAATCACATAGCAAGCCTCCACAAATTGAGAAAGCCAGTAAAAAGAATTAGATATAGGAGCTTGCCTAAGAGACTCATGCCCAGTTTTACTTTCGTGTGGTAGCAGTTTTTTGAGAAGAGAACATCTAAGTAGGGCTTTATAGGATTGAAGAAGTTCATGAAGGACATTCTGATTGCAAATACTTAGCTGTGGCAGCTACAAAGTGGAAGTGGTTAGTTCCAAATGGAATTGTGAAGATCTCTCCCCCACCCCAAATATATCCAGTTTAAGTGAATAAAGAACACAATAGCAAATACAGTTCAATGTAAGGGACATACACTATCTCCAAAACAGATTAATAAATATTCTAACTTCATATAAATGATAATGGAGACTAAGCAGGCAATGTGATTAATGTGTGTGGAAGAAAGGAAGAAGGAAAGTTATATTATGTTATGATATAATTAGGGAAGGGGATGAAGATTATATTATAATCTTTTCACAGATTTGTGATATAATAATGATGCATTTCAAACACTGTAAAAAAGTGTCATCAGCATTCTTTAAAAGGGGAGAATATGTTAAGGCTGTATTCCCCTAAAAAAGAAAGATTGCACCTTCAGTTTTAAAAAGAATGAAGAATGACATCATATATTATATTTTGTATACTAAGTATAGAGAAAAGGGTAGAAAGAACATTTTGTTGCTCTCCCATTCTCTCTCATGGCAGTAGATCTTGAAATGCTCAGAAAACTGGAGAAATTCAGCAAAGGAGGTCCCTTTCATTAAATGATAATATTCACACAGTATACTAAGCCTTCAAATGTATGTTTGTTGCTAAGCATATGTGAAATTGAACTTGCTATATGTATCATTCAAGGATGACGTTCACTATCACTAAGTTAGGTGGCTTCAATTTAGGTGGCTTTCTATGTCTAAGGTGGTTTGGAAAAATAAATGGAAGGTTGTCCTTTCAATGGCTATTTCTTACAATGCTTGCCAGAGTAGGAAGCAGTGTTGCCTTTCCTCAAAAATATCCAGTGTAGGTAAAACAGAAGTAAGACTAGGCAGGCCTTTGCCTAGAAATTTGCTCTTACAGCCAGAGATAATATATTTTTGTAAACAACATAGGACAATGAACTCTATCATGGCCTGCTTGCCTATACTCAGCCTGGCTTTGAACCAACAAAGCAGTCAATGTATATGATCCATCTACTAAAATGAATTTAATAGTAGCAGGAAAATCTACTTTTAAAAATCCTGGCTGCAATAACCATGAACATATCATTCTCCTTTCAACCCAACTCACCTTTTTCAATGGTATATCACTGATGCCTTGATTTAATGTTACATACCTATTCATCTAAGATGCCATAATCTAAACACAAGGTTAGAGTCTATGGAGATTCATATTCATGTCCATCCTTTGGGTGTGCCTTTCCCTTTCTGTCTCTTCTGTCTTTATGTGTAACATACAATAGGCATATGTCTGGTGCTATACACAATGATAACCTTAGAAACACTTCAATTCAACCCCATGCTAAGTTGTTGCTTTCCAATGAAAGAAATATATCAACCCCTTGAAAAACCCAGCTGTTCTCCATCTCCCGATGCATGTAGTACGTCCAAGATCTGATTATGTTTGATTTCTTAAGTGAAGGTACCACACTTTGTGTAGACATGGTATTAGGAGTCCCAGCAGTCTATCCTCCAAGTTTCAGAAAAGAACTGGGGAATCTCTCCCCACCCATCTGCTGGAATAAATAGTTTTTGATCAAGTCTAATACAACCTTTGCCTAACCAAAGGCAAGCACTTACCCTTCTTCAGGCCTTGAGGTGAGTGACAAGTCTTTCCATTCAGCATTGAATGATTCCTTCCGGGCCTCATCCTTCTCAGACACCCGGCAGGCCAGTTCAGCTGCAGACAGAATGCCGGAGCTGTGGAGAATCACACTCTTGCCGTGCATCTTTGTGTTGTAAAGGTCTGTTTGAAATAAAACAAGATCTGTAAATCTGAATTCTGTCTAGTGTTTTGTCCCTGCTTAGGTGGTTTATATAGTTTTAGGAGAGCTCATTTCTGGGGGATGGTGCTGGAGCTAAATTAGTCTTGCAGAGTCACTGCTACAGCATTCCAATACTGAATACCTCTTCTCCACCCCTTTGCCTCATGGGATATGTATGTATTACTGGAATCCACATTAGTGACGTAAAATTTTTTAATGCTCTTTTATTTCTGTACTTCCTGGCAATAGTATGGACTGGTAATTTAATTAATTCACTATTTGAAGATGAAAAGAAAGTTTGTAAGTTCTAAATCTGCAGCATTGTGTAGCAGTCTTTAACTTGGATGGACATTAAAGCTACCTAACACTTCAAATTACAATCTAATGAACTCATGAAAAGCCATAACTTTATTTGGGGTCTCTCTCTCAAGGAGAAAGTGGGTCTTTAGAGATACATGACTTCTTAATGCCTTTAGATCAGCCCAAATATTTTTTTTAAATTATCTTTGATTTTGCAGAGTATCAAGTACTTTAAGCCTCATTAAGGAATTGTGAAAGTACAGTAAACATTAGGCTGTATTCCCTCCTCCTCCTCCTCTTCTTCTTCTTTATTATTATAGTTCTTTTCAGAGTCAGCCAGATATTTAGAGAGGACTTGGCATTTTTGTTCCACCTATCAAGTCCTTTCCAAAGACCTGGGATAGGCAAATGTTGTTCGATGGTTGCAGGACGTAAACTGTAAACTCTTCAAGTCTAACTGTAAACTGCTTTTTTATAATTGACTGAGATGATTTCATCAATGTCAATGGTGTTCAAGAGATGCTCAAGATGTTTTGGGATTGCACCCAAGATGCCTATTAACTCTAGGTACTATCTTTGCTCTCTTTTGCCATTATTATACTTCCATTTGCACATGTTTGTACTTTGTGAATTTCTTTCTATACTGTTCTGCTATCTCCAGGTATGATGACATCCACCATTGAGACTTTTTTTTGTCTTTCTCATTGACAGTTGTTAATTATTATTATCACTATAATCTGTTGACAACAATGTGAAGTCACAGCTGCCAGTTCTTTAGTTGGCATTGACCTTGATATGCATCATGTTTTTGCCAAGAACCTCGGTATCATAATGTATTTATGTAGCATGTATGCAGATTTATGTAGGTTTATACTATTATGTAAAAGAATATGCGATTTCATAAGCGCTTCAATACTAATATTGCATTAGTATTAATTAATATTATCTTTTATTGTCAGAGTACATACACTTGTATATTCACCATCAAACACCTATAATCATTATACTAGAAAGCATCAGTGTGCAAAAGGTGTATAAGCAGAGAGTATTCAGAATCAGTTCTAAGAATTTTTGACTTCGTATTCATTTCAAGCTTCTTTTCACTGAAAAATAAAATCATTATTTCAGCTATTGGGAACCCTGACCAAGGCTTAATAATTCAAGAAGGTATTCTGTAATAGAAGGAAGATTTGCAGAACTTGTTGATGGAAGATGGGAGGCCTGCTTTGGGAGTACACAGCTCTATGACAGTTCCGCAGGATGAAGTCATTTGGAAAAACCTTTCCACTCCCTCCCTCCTTCTCTCCCCCTCAGGTTTCAGGAGCACCATACTCCCTCAGAGCCAAGCTCTTGCTCACTTTTCTCATGTCCAGAGAGACCCAATGCCAAAACTTTGGTGTAACTGGGAGAAAATGTCCTGCATGTTCCCGAAGGGTAGATAGGGTCAGGGGCAACATGAGATGTTGACTTGGCAAGCAGTCCTTACCAAGAGGCATGGAAATGCTGGGAGTAGAAGAAGCATGACTATTGAAGTATGTGTAAAATCAAACACTGCAAAGACGTGGGACAAGAAGGAACTCATAAGCCGGGAAGAAGAATCAGCATGCCTTTTGCATTGCACCCTTTTAAATGGCATTAGTTAAAAGGCATGAGAAGCAGTCATATATGACTTACTGACTTACTAAGGATGAATAGACATACCGGTGCACATGGCTTGATTTCTCCTATTAGCTCTAGCATAACCAAACTTTCCATAACTGAATTCTATTGATATAGAAACAGGAATCCCGGCTTTGCCAATCCAAAGTAACTCAGGCAGTGGATCTGCCAGACAGGCAGTCTCTTCTGCAGTTGTAAAATAACCTTGAACTATTTTCTTGGATTAAGTAGTATGTAAACCAATCCCAAGTATGCCTTGGGAATGCATCATTTCTGGAGAAAGTCCCATGGAACTCAAAGGAATTTAGATCTGAATCAATATGCCTTGAATTATTCTCTAGTGACACCATGTTTATTTAGTCTCCCCCCCCCCCCAAATCTTTCTGTAACATTTCCAACATCAAAGAATAAGGGCTTGACATTCATTCAGCATTGTATGGGATATTTAGCCTGTGGATTTTAGAAACCCATCAGCTGTTCTTTGTTACTAGACACTAATTGTTGATAGCAGCCAGCACAAACAAATGAGATGACTCCTTAAAGCCAGTTACTTGCTCACTATAATAATGAGAATTATTTTTACTAAGTTTTCCAGCAGTTGTATCATCTAACTCGCACTATCAGACAGATCCCATATATGCAGACAGATGTGCACTTGATTACTTTGGAACAGCTTGCTTGACAGACATGTTTTTAGTTGCACATATACCACCCCCCAGCCTGTGCACAATAGATGTACAATTATTTCATTGGGCAGCTGAAAAGGAAAACAAATGAAGGTGGGGATAATTGTCCCTGGCTCTTGCTTGATGTGACCTTAATGCTTTTTCAATGGGTTGCAATAAGATGCAGTTTCTAACTATATCTCAGTCTGCAAAGCAAATTAGGGTAAAGAACTAGCAGTAAAAAGACAAAAATAAGCAGCTAACTAAGAGTAATATGAAAGCATAATTTCTCCTCTGGGTGTCTCAGAGGAAAGAAAAGAATAGTACAGCTGGAATACTTCAGAAGCCCCAATCCATTGTAATCTTCAATTTTACATAGATAAATTCTTTGTGTATTCAGTTTTACTAGACTTTGATAACATCAAGTCCTACCTGATTTCTTTGGCAAAGGTGAGCCATTTTCCTTGACTTGACTGCTGCATTATTAAAATAATGAAATATGATAGCTAAGCAAATCAACAGAAAAGAGACATTAAAACATTGAAGTTAGCTCCCATAAAAGATATATAGTTCTACTGATGCCTTTTTGGAAAAACTTTGCCTTTCCTCCCCACTCCCCCTGTAAGGTATTTTCCATCACAGCAGGTAGGCTACAGCAAAGTTCACCTTTCTCTCCACTTCCTTCCTTTGTTTTGCAACAAACATTTTGCCTCATCCTCAATTCCCAACCAGAGGAGGTCAGCAGATTGGGAACAGTTATATTATTTTCTCTCCATCCAATTCTGCAAAACAGGGTGATTTGTGGAATGCAAATCAGAACATCAAGTATTTTTCTTTTTGAAATAAAGATTACTCTATGATATTCACATTCAACTCTACATGGTTCATGGCTATGTAACTTCCATTTCCTACTCTTCCATGCTTTGTTAATACATTCAAAAATGTGATGGGAAGGGGAGGCAGATGCAAATTTCTTCTGTGTTCTCCATCTTCCATTCATGTTAAGGATCACATTGCAGACTGGGTCTAAAACAGCCTTCTCCAATCTGATATCTTCCAGATGTCCCTGCCATCTAAGCTAGCAATAATGCACTAGGGATGATGGGATTGTAATTCAGTGCATTTGCATGCACTTGCATAGAGAAGGTTATATAATTTTACAACCTCAAAGAGGTCAACAGGATATACAGCCGATAGTGCCTTATCTGCAATTGTAGAGAGCACAAAATGTCATAATTACGTGAGTCAACAGGCAAGCATTTACATTGTTCTATCCAACCATACAAAATATCTTTGATGCATCTATCAAAGTAAAATGTATCAACTAAGCGTATTATTTCTTTTTAACAATTAATATTGTTAAAATATTACATTTTTAATATTGCATAGCATTTTTACTTCTATCCCAACTTTGAAAAATTGAGTAATCCCTATAAATTGAGAATCAGTTTAATCAGAAACACAGTATAAGAATAAAAATTAAATACTATTTCTTCTCCCAGAAATAGATGAACGTTTTGCTAATCAGTTAACAAATGTATGCAGGAAACACAATGGAGGACTTTAACTATCCTAGCATCAACTGGAAGACAAATTCTGCATCAAGCAGGTTCCTGACTAACCTAGCTGACAACTTTGTCATCCAAAAGGTAGAGGAAGGGATTAGACAGTCTGTTATACTGGATCTAATTCTTACTAACATAGAAGAAATGATAGAGTGGCTTGAAGTTGCAGGAATCTTGGGAGAGAGTAACTATGTCATATTAGAATTCAGTATAATGCAGGCACAACCAATAGAACATAATCAAAAAGAAAAATAAGAATAAATAAATAAACAGACAAAAAGGATAAGAATAAAAAATGGAAAGACGGATACATAACTAAGACAGAATGTCAGCATATGGCCCAAACCTGCAAAAGGCAAAGCTGAGGCTCAGAATGAAGTAAGACTTCATTCTGACAAAATTATTTTTGACAAATGTCAAAAATAATTTTAAAAAATTCTTTCAAAATATAAAAAACAAGAAAAAAGTCAAGGAAACAATTGGTCCACTAATGGGAGAAGATGGCAAGGAGGTTTGTTTGTTTGCTGGATTTATGTGCCGCCATTCTCCCAAAGGACTCAGGGCGGCGTACAACATTAAAAAAACCATATTACAAAAGTTAAAAAGGAAATTAAATAAAGTATCCCAAAACAAACCCAATTAATATTAATAATACAATTTTAAAAA